CTGAGCTTGGCAGGGACACTTGGGGGGGGACCCAGGGCCACCCCTGGCAGGGACACCAGGAGGGACCCGGGGCCACCCCTGGCAGGGACACCTGGGGGTGTCAGAGGACCCGGAGCCACCTCCGAGCCTGGCAGGGACAACTGTGACCATGCCAGGGACATCAGGGTGGTGTCAGGATCTGGAGCCACCTCCGAGCCTGGCAGGGACAACTGTGACCCTGCCGGGGACACCTGGGGAGGGTCAGGACCCGGGGCCACTCCCTGGCAGGGACACCTGGGGGGGGTTCAGGATCTTGTGCCAAATCCGAACCTGGCAGGGACATCGGTGACCCTGCCGGGGACACCTGGGGGGTGTCAGAGGACCCGGGGCCACCTCCGAGCCTGGCAGGGACAACTGTGACCCCACCAGGGACACCTGGGGGGGACCCTGGGCCACCTTCCACCAGGGACACCTGGGGGGTGTCAGAGGACCCAGAGCCACCTCTGACCCTGGCAGGGACAACTGTGACCATGCCAGGGACACCTGGGGGGGTTCAGGACCCGGGGCCACCTCCCTGCAGAGACACCTGGGGGTGTCAGAGGACCCAGAGCCACCTCCAAGCCTGGCAGGGACACCTGTGACCATGCCAGGGACACCTGAGGGGGTTCAGGACCCGGGGCCACCTTCCACCAGGGACACCTGGGGGGTGTCAGAGGACCCAGAGCCACCTCTGACCCTGGCAGGGACACCTGTGACCCCACCAGGGACACCTGGGACTCGTCAGGACCTTGGGCCACCTCCGAGCGTGGCCGGGCCACCCGGGAGGTGCCACCCGGCGGCTCGGGGGCTCCGGGCCGTGGGCACCGCCGAGGTGCCGCGGCCGTGGCGGGGCGCGGGGAGCCGATCTCGGGCCGGGCTCTCCGGGAGGACGGCAGCGAGGAGGAATTTCATGCAACATTCCCGGGCCGGGGGCGGGCGGGAGCCGGGGGTTGGGGGGCGGCTCCGCGCCCTCAGTGCAGCGCTCGGAGAAGGAGAAGGAGAATCCCGGTGGGTTTTCTTGGCTTGGGAATGCCGCCCCGCCCTTCCCACGGCGGCTCGGGACGCGGTCAGCTGTCCACCAGCTGCTTCAGCGCCCGCTCGATGTTCATGCGGTGCCCCACGCGGGTCACCCCCAACTCCACGAAGTCCTCCTTGGTCAGGGCGGGCAGGTGGGTGCCCTCGATCTCGTGGTCCTCGAACTTGTCCCGGTGCTCCACCAGGTTGATGCTCTCCAGCCAGTCCCCCACGTCGTACTTGTTCCACAGGTGCAGCGGCTTCTGCATGAAGGGCCGCGGCGGGTGCAGCGTGTGCAGCGGCGGCCCCGGCGACGGCGACGGCGACGGGGAGCGGCTGCGGGCGCTGACGCTGCGCACCACGAAGCGGACCTCCTTGGGCTCGTGGGGGATGGAGAGGCTGGAGGATTTGAGGATGGTGGGGGGCGTCAGGCCGTAGGGCCGGACGGTGCTGAGGGGCTCCGGCCGCTCCAGCGCCGCGGCTTTGACGGGGCTGGGCGTGCGGCGGGTGACGGGGTAGCGGCTGCCGGGCCGCACGGTGAAGGTGGTGCCGGAGCTGCGCTGGGAAATGGTGCTGAGCTCGCCTAAACTACTGAAAAGTCTGCGGAGAGAGCGGGGAGGGGGAGAGAAGAGAGGAGAGGGAAGGGGTGAGGCCGGGCTTGGGAATGGGGGGCGCGAATCCAGCGGGGTCGGGGCGGGCTGGGATGGGGAGGGGGACGCGGCTCGGGCGGGATATCCCCGGGGGGATGTCCCGAAGATTCCCGCAGCGCCTCCAGGGTGGGGATTCCCGGCCGGTCCTGCCCCTCCGGGCGCGCCGATGTCCCCCGGCCCTGGGGACAAGGAGCTTTGTCCTGCCTCGTCCCCCCCCGTGCTGAGCCCACGTGGAATGGGAGCGACCCCGTGGAGAAAAGCTGGGATAAGAGGGAACCTTCCGGCGTTTTCCCGGGATGGACCCTCTGGACACCCTGGTGACGGTCACCTGGCGGTCCGTGTGGCGTGAGGAGCCCGGGGGCGGCCGGGCCGGTGTCCCCGGACCCCCCGGCTGTGCCACCGTGGGAATCTTGGATGGGGACAAAGCTCCTGTCCCCCTGGCATTGTCCCCATCCTGCCATTGTCCCCGCGGAATGGACAGGGAATGGGAAAGGAAAGGGATCTGACACCTGCGGGAACCCTAGAAAATCAGAGCCCTCGGCTCTGGAGAGGCTGGGAAAGCTGGGAATGTTCCCCTGGAGAAGGGAAGGATCCAGGGAGAGCTTCCAGCACATTCCAGGAGCTCCAGGAGAGCTGCAGAGGGACTGGGGACAAGGATGGAGGGACAGGACACAGGGAATGGCTCCCACTGCCAGAGGGCAGCCAGGGATGGGAGATTGGGAATGAGGAATTCCTGGCTGGGCTGGGATTGCCAGAGCAGCTGGGGCTGCCCCTGGATCCCTGGGATGTCCAAGGAAAGGCTGGAGCAGCCTGGGACAGTGGGAGGTGGCACTGGAGGAGCTCTGAGGTCCATCCCACCCCATCCCTGCCACTCCACTTGTCCTCACAACTATCCCATAAAATTCCCGCATCCCAGTGCCTCAGTTTCCCTGCCACTGCCTGGCTTGGCCTCCCATCTCAGCTCCCTCCTGGAAAACCGGGACACTCTGGAATGCTGATGGGATCCACCACTGCCTTGAACGCCACCTCCTGGTTTTGGGAATGCTGATGAGCTCCAAGGATCCCATAAATCCACGGCTCCGAAGGGATGAGCTGAACGTGGCTGAAGATCTCCAGGATGAGCCACATTCCTGATAATTCCCATTTTTGAGTCGCATTCCCGATAATTCCCGTTTTTGAGCCGCATTCCTGATAATTCCTGGTTTTGAGCTGCATCCCCAATAATTCCCATTTTTGAGCGGCATTCCCGACAATTCCCATTTTTCTGCTTCCCTGGCACGGCAGAGAAGGAATCACCTTCAGGAAGCTCGGACAGGGAAAAGCCGGATGTCCGTGAGGAATGAGACACGGAATGGGAAGCGCGGGGACGTGGCCGTGTCCCACCTGGATCTGGGATCTGGGAGAGAAAGTTCTGGATCTGCTGGAACACCCCGGGAAGGACCAGCCCTGGAAAAGCCGAAGGATCCGGGTGTTCCTCCCAAGCCTGTGGATGCTCCGATGTGGCTGCGTTCCCGCTGGGAATTCCCGGCAGTCCCGTTTTCCCGCACGGAGCCACAGCTGGATCCCATCCACGCCCCGGATTCCCGGCTCCTTCCTCTCCCTCCAGGAATCCCAGCATCTCCGGATCCCGGCCAACTCCTCAGGGAGCTTCCCAGCCTTTAGGAACCTTTGGGATCATCCAGGCAATCCCGGATCCAGGCGAGGGCGGAACTCCGTTTCCCATTCCCGGGGTCTTTTCCAGGCAGCTCCAAGGGGTGGCATTCCCAGCGCTCCAGGTTTCTCCAGGAGCTGGGATGGGGCAGCTCCTCCAGTGCGCTCCGACCCCACAAATCCCACCTGGGGCAGCTCCCGAGCCCGGATCGTTCCTGGGATCGCTGGGATCATCCCTGAAATTATTTGGATTGTTCCTGGGGTCGCTGGGATTGTTCCTGAAATTATTTGGATCACTTCTGGGATCGTTCCTGGGGTTGCTGGGATCATTCCTGGGATTATTCGGATCATTCCCAGAATGGCTGGGACCACTCCTGGGATAGTTTGGATCATTCCTGGGATTGTTCCTGAGATTGCTGGGATCATTCCTGGGATTTTTTGGATAATTCCTGGGATCATTCCTGGCATTGCTGGGATCGTTCCTGGGGTCACTGGGATCATTCCTGGGATTATTTGGATCGTTCCTGGAATTGTTCCTGGAATTGCTGGGATCATTCCTGGGGTCACTGGGATAATTCCTGGGATTATTTGGATCGTTCCTGGAATTGTTCCTGGAATTGCTGGGATCATTCCTGAGATTGCTGGGATCATTTCTGGGATCATTTGGATTGTTCCTGGGACTGTTCCTGGGATTGTTTGGATTATTCCTGGGATAGCTGGGATCACTCCTGGAATCGTTTGGATCGTTCCTGTTCCGAATCTTCTCCCAGTCTTCCTTTGGACACTTTCCCAGTCTTCCTACGGATCTTCCATCCAATCTTCCTATGGATCTTCCCGACTTTCCTACGGACATTTCCTGACCTCCTCATGGATCTTCCTGTGGCCTCCTACAGATCTCCTCTGCCCTTCCTGTGGGGTTTTCCCAACATTCCCAAGGACCTTTTCCCAGCCTTTCTATGGATCTTCCTCTGACCTTCCCATGGATCTTCCTGTGAGATCTTCCTTCCAATGGATCCTACAGATCCTCCTTTCTTTTGATGGATCTTCTCCAAAACTGATCCCGCCCCTGATCCTGACCCTAACCCTGATCCCGACCCAAATCCTGATCCCGACCCTAATCCAAACCCTGATCCCAAGTGCAAACCTGATCCCAGCCTTGGCTCTGCCCCTAATCCTGATCCTAACCCTGACCCTGGTGCTGACTCTGATCTTAACCCTGAACCCGACCCTAAACTTAACCTTAACCGGACCCTAAACTTGACCTTAACCTGATCCTAAACTTAACCTTAACCCGATCCTAAACTTAACCTTAACCCGATCCTAAACTTGACCTTAACCCGACCCTAAACTTAACCTTAACCCGATCCTAAACTTAACCTTAACCCGGCCCTAAACTTGACCTTAACCCAACCCTAAACTTAACCTTAACCCGACCCTAAACTTAACCTTAACCCAACCCTAAACTTAACCTTAACCCGACCCTAAACTTAACCGTAACCTGATCCTAAACTTAACCTTAACCCGACCCTAAACTTGACCTTAACCCGACCCTAAACTTAACCTTAACCCGACCCTATACTTAACCGTAACCTGATCCTAAACTTAACCTTAACCTGACCCTAAACTTAACCTTAACCTGATCCTAAACTTAACCTTAACCCGATCCTAAACTTAACCTTAACCTGACCCTAAACTTAACCGCAACCTGATCCTAAACTTAACCTTAACCCGACCCTAAACTTAACCGTAACCTGATCCTAAACTTAACCGTAACCTGATCCTAAACTTGACCTTAACCTGATCCTAAACTTGACCTTAACCTGATCCTAAACTTGACCTTAACCTGACCCTAAACTTGACCTTAACCTGACCCTAAACTTAACCTTAACCTGACCCTAAATTTAACCTTAACCTTGATCCTAACCCTGACCCCAAATTAACCTGAACCCCAATCCTGGTCCTAACCCTAAACCTGACCTGAACTTTCACCCTGATCCTAAAGTCCTGATCCCAGTTCACAGGTGATCCCAACCCTGATCTGGATCCCGATTCCAGTCCTAATCCTAACCCTGATCTGGATCCCGATCCCAGTCCTAATCCTAACCCTGATCTGGATCCCGATCCCA